TGTTTTGGTCAATTTGACAGAAAATTGTCGTGTTTTAAATCTACGTTTTCGCAGCTAGTTCATAAAATTATACTTGAACCGAGATCCGAGGAAGAACCATAATTGCTTCGTTCATATAAAAGTTTATTTTTTTCATGTGTCTTGATTGTGATGACGTTTGGCTGTATATATTACTTATTACATATTGCAGCTTACATTAAGCAACTGCAGGTGTACCCATTTAAGTCACTTGGGCTGAGCTAGCTTGAGTTATATATGTTGTCACGTATTCACTACATATCATGGTCAGTTTTAAAGTCCGTCAGATAAATATTAAAGGTATCCAATGCGATTTCAGGGTGGCAAAACTGGAATATTTTGAATAAGGAAACCTGTATGCATATATGGCACACATACTGTCCCACATCAGAACATCTGCACCAGTATATCATACTTTGGGCATTTAAAACATAGCAAAAACAGTCCCCAATATTACTGCTTAATTTTCAGGGTGGTACCCAAAAATCATGCAGTCCAGGCTCCTACCAGTAACCATTTTCCATCACAATTTTCTGCATTTTCCTCCATGAATGTCGATATATTTTGGGACAGTGTTGTATGTTTCTACTTCAACTTAGTATGTAGATAGTGACTAGAATATTGGCTTAGAAAACAATCTGGTTTTCAAGCATTTGGCACTTTTAAATGTTCCAAAGTTAACTTTTGAAAGAGAAAGTAAAAGCTTACTGCTTGACACTTGATTGGTGGAAACTAAAACAGCAATAAAGATTTGGGACAACTGTAAAGTTGGCGTGATGCTCCCTATGTCTCCCTGATTTGGTTTGAATTCTCTAGTCGCCAGGTAGAATATTTGCCAACTAGCGTTTCAAAAGAGTCCGCTCTGTTTCTATGGGCGCTCTTCAAGTATGTCAACCTGAAATTAACATCCATTGAAAGCTAGCCAGTGACTCCACAATAATAGAAGTCATTAACTGTTCCTCAAACGAACACTTCAGTGTATCTTAGCAAAATATGGCCCAAGTTTGAAGCATGCGATTAGAACATACAAGAAAGGTGGGGTGTTACTAGCCTCCGTACCAGGCTTATAGAACTGGGGATTTGGTGGTCTTCGGCTGTTTTCTGATTAGCCCAGTTCTAAAACGGGGGTAATTCAATCAGGCCGGCTATGTTGTCTATATGCAATCAGAAAATAGCACATAAAAGCTCTCAAAGACCATGAACTTCGATGAAGACCCCCAAACCCCCAGTTTTTGGCATGCTGTGGAAGCCAGTGTGTTACGTTGTTTTGTGGGGGAGGGGAATTTGTGATTGTACAAAGTTTTGCAAGAGTTTGCAAAGGTTGCCTACAGTTATCACGAAAGAGGTATACTGGAAAATTATTAGATAATAAAGTCAAGAATGTTATAAAAAAAAGACTCACTTGTTCTGCTCTTTGCTGCATAGAACCGAAATTTCTTGAGACATTCTCAGTCTACCAAGCAGAACTTTCTCTCACGCCACGTCTGCGTGTACACACACACCGGCAACAGGAACATGTGCGACCTTTGCACACTGTGTGTTACAACTAAAGATGCGCCGATGATTGTAGACCGTCGCGCCTTACGAGAAATGTAAATCCCGCCGGTGAACCATAGTTCACAGAAGCGGGCCATGTGATAATTCTGGTCCGTCTATCGCACTCGTACACTAGCCTCCACCACGGGCCCTTCTACGGGAATACGGATCGTAGAATTCGGCAAAAAAAATAGAGTAAAATTGGTCAACGGAGTCCGGCCGCGGGGAGGTAGTTTCTTTCCCTCCTGCGCGGCCTGTCAAACCTACAAGGCGGCCAAACTCCCCTGGCAAATATTCTCCTATATATAGCCAGCGTAGTTAGTCTTAGAGACTAAGTCCGTCTATCGCACTCATATACAGTGTGTCCTTGGAGAAAACGCAGACGACACTATACTACAAACGATGCGTGTTTCACTCACCTCGACTGCTTGCCACAGCGGTTGCCCAGATGGCCCTACGAGGTGTCAATCTTCTTTATCGTACAGAAACACTCTCGACCGCTTTTAAATGGCTTTTACAAGGGGTTAATTGCCATTATTTACCCCGAATTTATGACGTACTGAGCCCGAGTCTTGCTTTGAGAGACTTGGCGGGCCGACTCCATGAACTTTGAGCTCAAGAGGAGACAAGCTGTTTACTGTTGGCGATAAGATGTGAGGGTTGGAACACTGACAAGTTGGACAACACCGGAAGGCACCCAAAACGATTTCAGGCAGTAAACTGGAGTTTCAAAGTCAAATTTTGTGGTAAATTTTTTATGAAATAGGTTGACTCAAACATTTTCCATAGCATACGTTCCCATATATAGCATACTAAGGCAAAAATGCGATGTCACTGACGGAAAACGGTTGCTTGTTTCGTAAACGTATCGTAAATGCAGGCTAGTTCACAATCATAGCTATTTATTGGTGGTAACAAAAATAAAGGACTATTTCAAATGCTTGAAGTATGAAATGAAGAAAATGTACTAACAAAATATCTGCATTAAAATTATATATCACTAGCCTCTATCAGGCACCGCGGATTGCTGGAAAAAGAGTAGAAATTGGCCGAAATAAAGGGATAGTATACCAGAGAAGATCCAGGGCCATAGAAGTTCCAATTCGCGACCCACGGGATCTTCTCTGGTATACTATCCCTTTATTTCGGCCAATTTCTACTATTTTTCCAGTCATCCGCGGTGCCTGGTAGAGGCTAATATATTACTCTTACAGCCAAAAACTGTAACGGCTCCATATCTTCCGACATTGTAGGTAGCCTTAACTATTCAGTTGAACAATCGTCACAATCAACCATACCTTTTGAAATGCTTACCCTGTATGCTACCAATGGCCTTCCCAGAACAAAATACTAATATATGCACTTATTTTTTGAAGATCTGATAACATTATAGTATTTCATGCTAATATCATAACTTTACGTAGCCACGTGTTTAATTAGTCAGCCCGATGTTTGCCTGCCTCATGTTTAATTTGTAAACAAAACAAATATACAACTTCCTGCTTAACTTTCACATCACCTGTTAAGTAGCAAGATCAAAGGATACGCCGCCCGCAATATTGATCCTGATATAAATTTTCTTCCAGTCACAAGCACCTATGTACAAGGGTGTACTAGCCTCCACCAGGCCTTTCTACGGGAATACGGATCGTAGACTTCGGCAAAAAAGAGAGTAAAATTGGCCAAGGGAGTCCGGCCGCGGGGAAGTACTAGGTAGTTCTTTCCCTCCTAACTGCGCGGCCTGTCAAACCACGGAGGTTCAAAAAATCGTCAAACCTACAAGGCAGCCAAACTCCCCTGGCAATTATTCTCCTATATATAGCCAGCGTAGTTAGTCTGGTAGATACTGGGTTCATATTGTTCATGCCACTTGCACCAGTTTATATACGTATGTCTATACATATTATGTACTTACAGCTTTTTGGAGCCAAGTTTAAAGTTGAAACTTCTGTTCGAATACAAAAGATTGTTCTCACCTAGAACTTTTGACAAGTCACTCCGGTCTTCCTCAATAGACTGACCCAGTGAGACTTGTCACGTGGCTTCTCTTAAGTGTGACGTCAACAGTAGGTCAAAGGTGTCTGGTAAACAATGTCGACCCCCGTCGCAGTGGCGTGATAGGCTATTGATGTAAATACCCTCTTTCACCCCTTTCAGGAAGTCTTGTCCGGTGTCCAGTATTCTTAAAGTGTCCAGAGAAACGGAATGTGCAGGTGACTCTACGTAGATGTGAAACTTCTGAAGTTGGCCGTGAGTGCTCCAGCAACCTCGCCTTAAAAGACCTCTCCTTTTCCCCTATGTAGGATTCCTGGCATTCTGGCACTGATCTTTAGGCCATGTTGATTTGACTAGATGGATAACATCCTCTGGGAACCCAAAAACTGATGCGGGCGTGGGAATAAAAAAAAGTTTGGCAAAAAAATAAGTCGCCTTCATTATGAAATCGACATAGTCAACAAGGTTGAACAAATGACTAAACACACAGAGTATGGTATGGCAAATAATAGATTCTTCATTTTCATTTCTTTACATTTGCTTCTTATCCTTTGGAATTGATTGTGTCTTTCTACGACATAACTATCGTTTTTTCAATATTTTCTACACAATTTACAGCATATATTGGCTCATTTTGCAGCTAGCTTTGTACAATTTACAGTATGGGAACGTTTTCCAGGGGAAAACAGACGAAAAATCATGCGCATGTGGATGTCATCCATATAATCAAATCAACATGGCCTTAAACAGATCGAGATTTGAGATAAAGAGGGTGGTGTCACAGGAATTTTAAGCCTCAAGGTGAACTAAAAATAAAAGACATCCTCTCTCTGTGTATCTCTAGGGATGGTGGGGTTTAAAAGGTGACTGACTCCTGATTGAAAGGATGTGTACAAAAAACACAAAACATGTTGTCACTCACTGAATGTTTGTCAGCTACAGCTGTGCCTCAATTCATTCCATGTGGCCCACTATCTACCGGAAGTGTTACACTCAGAAGCTTATACAAGATATAAAAAAAGTATACAGGAACTTAGCTGTCGAACAGCAAAAGATATGAGGTATTAGTTATCTTAAAACCCTTGTCCTGCAGGACCCACATATATATGGGTTGCACATACAGTACCATCTATATAGTGCCCTGTGTATGTACGATTTGGGGGTATTTCTTGTTCAACACATCACACGTGCACCGCAGTGAAACGCAATGAATGCGGATAACTACGCTGCCGCAGGGCAAAAAAAGTCAAGGGTCTGTGACCTGATTAAGACTTCAAATCACTTGAAAATATTGTGTAAAAAAGGCCAGCAGGACAAGGGTAAACTTCATACAGTTGTATGTAGGTATCTAGGTTGGAAGGAGCAGGTTTATTGTTGGTTTTAGTGCTGAATCTAAAACATTGGTGTTGGAAATAAAGTCTGAAGCATTGGTGTCGGGAGTCCATGGAATGCAAACTAACTTTAATTTGCTGTTTCCTGTGCTACAAAGATACAAAATTTGTACAACTTTTTAAGACTACACATATGTTTTGCCTTCCTTACTTTACAGAGAGACAATTCACTATGCTGTACATGATAATAGGACCCAGCCTCATATATTCACAGCAATAAGCTGTGTGACAGCACAGTGTATTGCTGTATCCAGGGTGGCATGTTGACCTTGGCCTGCCCTCTGACCGCTTTCCAGCTGTTCCCATGATGTGTCATCTGTGTGGACAAGCAAAATTACCATATTAAGACAGCGTCTAGCATAGGTTTTCTGCTCAGGCCTAGAAAAATTACTGTTGTATTTCCAGTTTCAGTCCATCCACCTAACTGTTTGCTTGTGGACAAATATTTCACCCAAATTACAGAAAACTGCTTAATCTGAAAATGCATAAGGCCATGTTGATTTGATTATATGGATGACATCCGCGCGCGCATGAATTTTCGGCCGTTTCCAAAAAAAAAAAGTTTTCAACCATACTGTAAATCGTGCAAAACAGTTGCTAAATGAGCAAAAATATACCATAAGTTGCAAGGAAAACATTTAGAAAGGATACCAATGTCGTAGAATGCCAAAATCAAAGGAAAAAAGACAAAAATGTAAAGAAAAGAATTCGAAGAGTAGATTATTCGCCATAACATATTCTGTGCCATTTGTTCAACCTTCATGACCACGTAGATTTCATAGTGAAAGCTAACTTTTTTTTTTGCAAAACTTTTTTTTTGCACGCACGCATCAGTTTTGGGGTTCCGAGAGGATGTCATCCATATAATCAAATCAACATGGCCTAATATGATGTTTCAGAGTTCAAAGGGTTTGAAAATTTTATAGGCTTACCAGTGGTAGATTACCAGTGGTAGATAAAAACAAGCTATGGTTGGTGGGTTTTTGATGGGTTGGTCGGGAAATCGTAAACACACAATTTTTTCCATAGGCCTTACTGATTTACTTTTCCACACACTTCAACACACACACACACACACAAATGTACACACACACATACACGGACACACACACAGACAGGTACACACACATATACACATACACAGACACACACACAGACACAGACATGTACACACACACACATACACAGACGCACACAGACATGTACACACACACACAGACATGTACACACACACACAGACATGTACACACACACACACACACACACACACACACACACACATACACATATACACATACACGGACACACACACACACACACATACATGTTGTACACGGACACACACACACACACACATACATGTTGTACACGGACACACACACAGACACGTACATACACATATACACATACATGGACACACACACATATACACAGAAATGTACACACACACACACACACACACACACACACACACACACACACACACACACACACACACACACACACTACACACACACACACGTACACACACGTCTCTGCTACTCACCCACAGACTGTGGCGAGGTGCTCCCAGGACTGTATGAAGCTGTGATCTGTGCCAGCTGTAGTAACATGGACACCACGTCCTGGGTTAGGGGAGGGAAAGCACGGCAGATACGCACCAGGGCAGGTAACGTGGCCAGGCAGAACTTCTGTCGGGAATCACTGGGCAGAACTGTACAACAAAACAAAAACAAAACAACAAATTCTAGTGTCACAACACATCCACATAGAGTCACCCGGACATTTTGTTTCACTTGACACTGTAAGGATTTTGGACACTGAACAAGACTATTTCCTTAGAGGGGTGAAGGAGGCTATCTACATCAGGGCCCACCTCCCTTCACTTAACCGTGATGGGGGCCAACATCGTCTACCAGATACCTTTGACCCTGCATCACACTTCAAAGAAGCCACGTGACAAGCCTCACTGGGTCAGTCTACTGAGGAAGATCAGAGTGACTGGTCGATAGCTCTCGATGAGAGAATTTTTGTGTTGGACGGTCTTGGACCAAAAGTTTCAACTTTGAACAAATTCTAGTAAACACAACACTAGTAAAAGTCTTTTCCCTGCTGCCTAAACCAGCAAGCAATACGAGTGTTCTTGCCAGCGTGTTTGAGCATTGAGACCCCCTACACTGTCTATAGGAAACCCTATGCTGTGATTTAGCCCCCTACACTGTGTTTCACAAGTCGTGAAAGACGTCTTGCCAGGAATCGATCCCATGACCTCTTGATCTCATGTCCACTAGCCTAACATTCGACGTCACAGAGAGAAGGTTACAAAGTATGAAAAGTCTTTTGTTCTTTTCGCATAACTGGTTAACCGTCTTCAGGCGTAAAACACCAGTTTTGTACACATAAGTACAAGCTGCATAAGGCCTGACTGTTAGGTTTAAACCACTCACACCAACTGAAGGAAGGAAAGTTGTGTAAAGTGCATTTCCCAAGAAAAGATAGTAAACATCAAAGACAGAGGTGGGAATGAGGTTAGGTCAACTCTGAAGGATACTTCAAATGTTTTCTGTAAGCACTCTTAGTGTAGACACATAAAAAAAGTGGGCAATAGAAGAATTTTAAAGCACACTTAGCTTTTGTTTACTACACAATAAGACTCCCCTTTTAGTCACGACCATAGCGACAGATTGAGTGGAACTAGTGCTGTGTACCTAAACCAACAATTAGGTTCAGGTCCGGATTCAAGTCCAGAGGTTTAGGTTCAGTTTTGGACTTGTAAGTCCAGACCTAAACCCATGGCATATACAAAATTGCATGTTGGCAACCTTGCAATGTTGTCTGGGTGAAACATAACATGGAGGCCGACACTTGACGATGCCCGATGGCAATGTTTTCTTCATTTTGCAGCAAAGATTTTGCAATCTACGGAAGGTTTTAGGTGGTTTGGAAAGAAAAGGGGTATGTGAAATGGTCTTTTATGGTAATAAGTCCGGACTCAGTTCTTGACTTTTAGGTTTTTTTGGACTTGAACCTAAACATTCTTACATGTACAAGTCCAGATCCAAGTCCAGTGAACCGATACACAGTGCTAAGTGGAACCTACCTGTCATGAGTGTTGAGGCGACGTTGACGGCTAACCGTGCCAGACTGAGCATACGGGGCAGGGCAAACTGGTGGGCTAGATGGGAGGTCAGCTGGATACCAAATATCTGTCAACACAAGTCAATAGCATCAGAGACCTCAGGGAAATGGAATGATAACACCGTTACAATGATAACATCTTTAAAATGGTACAGGTCAGGTCGGTCTTGGTACCTTTGTGAGGTTGATCTTTAGGGTGAACCAGTTTTTGTCAGAGGGTTAAGTAAAGTTTGAAGTTTGTGGCAAAGTTTTGGAAGATCCGTCAGACTTTTTCGGAAATACAGAATAGTGTTCGAATTTGTCCAACTTCTGTTTCCTATTGGACTATTTGGACTAAAAATTTGTCTTCACTTCATTTGGGAATCAATCAATAGTTTATGAACCTGCTCATTTTGAAATTTCTCCAGTGTAACTGACAAAAGGTTGTGGATGCTACCTGAAATTAGCCTGGTTACAAAACCTATTGTAGCTCCCAAATTATAGCTAACCTGACATGTCTGACCATTTCTAAAATCATAACCAGTTGCTTCAATAACTGTTTTTGGGCGTATCTTATTACCTGGATGTCTAACCTTCACCTACGACAACTGTTATAGTTTACTGGAGCTACTGCTGTACAGTACATAGTTAGTAAACTTAAAGGTTCCAAAATTCACCATGCTCATTTCTTACCTGTTTCTCCAACTGTGGCTGAGATAGTAGTTCTGGGATGAAGTCCATACAGATGTGCATGGAAGGGACTCCTGCTACTGTCACTGGTAACAACTCTGTAGGGTAACCCTGGATACATGGAGGAACATTTTATTTTTACAGTTCATAGTGTAAATTTGCAGTTCTTGGAACATAGCCATACCAAATCTGTGAGTGTTGTCTACATGTAATGTACATCAATGTTAGGGCAGTGATAATCTTTAAACAAAGTAAATGACATTTCTGGTGGGAATCACTCCATTGTACAATAAGGAAAGTCATGTAAAGTGGGTAGAGTGAGGAAAGTTGTGTTAAGTGCCTTTCCAAAGGACACAATGTCTTGCCAAGGATCAAACCTGTGACCTCTCAATCTCATGTCCACTAGCCTTACCACCCAGCCGATTGACGATGTAAAATTCATCTACATGTAAAATGGACGTACCTGGAAGTGTGTAAGTTTGGCCAGGTTGGGGTTGGAGATGAACATCTGGTGTAGCAGACTACAGACCAGACATCTGATCTCACGGAGCTCACCCAGGCTCCAGCCATGGTCCTACACAAATTCAACAGAGGAAACAATGACTGCTGCATGCTTCCTCATAACCAAGGCATACTTTTAGTCACATAATCTACTAACTATCTGTATGTGTATAACTTCCCTTCCACAAAACATACCAGCTTTTCAGGGACATGGCTTGGCAGCAGCTGGCTACTACACTGAATAACCTCTCACACCTAACACATTTAACTGTTACAACAATTAGCAAGCTAAAGCATTGTTTACAACTATTTTCTGCACTTGGTTGCAATGAGTTCCACTCTAAAATTATAGCTCTAGGGAAAAAATGAGATTTTGAGCACCTGGTAAATTTCTAAATCAAGCAAAACTGTTTGTATTGGATAAGGAACTCGAAATTAATCTGTCAAATGTATAACTAATTTTTACCACATAAAGGCCACATTACAAAGATCCCTTTGCATGCTCAGGTAATTGAAGAACTCAGCAAAGTTGTATATTGACAGTATAATGCTGTTCTCCTGACCTTGTCCTTGTCTGCTGTACACATGTCCAGCAGTATCTGTACCACAGCGCTGTCCTGGGCCATGAGCAGGGCTGACTTTAGCTCCTCCCTCTCTGTTTCACCTGTTCCAGCACCTGTACCCTTCTCCCTCTGCACCTGCGCTGTGGATGCCAGGTGTGCGTCCAGGTAGGAGCCTGACATGGACAGGTAGGCATGGAGCACCTGGAGCATAATCCCCACCAGTGGAGGGCACCTGGGGGAAAGAATCATGAGTCAAGAATCCTTCTGTAAAACAATGTACATCTAGAAAAGGCCTAGGGAAAAATGTTGTGTTTCCACCTGACCCACCCTAGCAAAAATATGCTGACTTTAGCTTTATTTTTACCTTTTTAGCGACCGCTGGTAAGGCTATAAAAATTTTGATCTGACTTCTTAATTTCAAACTCTCTGAATTCTGAAATGCCTAAATACGAGTACATGATGTATATCAGAACTCAAGACAGCACCTGTTTTCCCATCAATTGCAGGAAGTTTGTGGCATGTGACGGAAAAATTTAAACCAATCCGTCAACCTTGACAGACAAAATGGAAAAAAATCTTTAGTAAAATTTTAAAAATATAAAAACATTTAAAGTACCACCAACAACTCTTAACCCCATGATTTGCCTCTCAAAATGTGGTACATGTGTAAATTGTATTTTTAAAGGCTTGAAAATCCTAAATTTGCCACCAGAATCATGAACCTAAGGAGACGGGGAAAAAATACCTGCATGCTTTTAGAGACCCTCTGCTAAAAAACAAACTTAAATGCAGAAGCCATGTTACCTGAAGACACTTGGCTCACATCTTAGGACAGCCAGAGGGTCTTCCGCTATGTCATCATGAGTCAGTGCTCTGGCCGGCATCCCCATCTGTCTGATCTGCATAGCGTTGACTGTCAGTGTTCGCAGTCTGGTAGGGAAGAAGAAATATGGGGCTGTGTCAGAAAGAAAAGTTTGACTAAGTCTTTATGTCTACCATGATAATTAATTAAACTTTTAAGGATTAACGAATCAATTGTTCCTCAGTGTACATGGAGTCATATGGCCTAATCATTAATTCCTATAACCACCATGCGAATGTAGACAGTCTGTTCCCTAACCCGAATCATATTCTAACATATTTGGTCTGACATCATTCAAACAGATTACATGTTCCATTTAGGGTCACCAGGGGTCATATCTGTTGATGCTGATTGGTCGTAGTGTTTATGGAATTAAAAACCACAGTGTTTTGGGGATTTAAATTGATGGTGTAAGGTTCCGACATCATAACCAATATTCAATAGGGACTTCTGACTGGTCAATGTCATCTGGCTATGTGATAATTACTACACTACACTACACTACACTACACTATCTGTTACCTTCTGGGCATAATAGTATTGAGGCTCTCCCAGATTTGGCCCACCAGCTGCCAGACTTTCCTGGGTACCGGCTGCTGTAGGTACAGGGGCAGGGTGCTGACCAGGGCTGCGGCATACTGCATCTGCTGCAGCGGCTGCAGCTGAGACAACTGCTGCAGCAGCAGCATGGTTCTGCTCGGGTTCACAAACACTTCTGACAGGGCTGCATGGGGAAAGAAAAAATGTAGAATGAATGAACAGGTACAAATTGTAGGTGCCCATGTAGATTGATAATCATAATTGTATACACTTTATTCTGTACCATGCAAAGCAATTTCAGGGCTGCAAAAATATTCTGGATGAGGAAATCTGCTGTTACTTAGCATATTTTCATCATTCTGCATACTTTGAAATAGCCCAACTGAAGCCTTTGAAATAGCCCAACTACACTGTACAAGGTAAATGAGGCATCTATATTTACTTACAGTACGTACCGCCAATACATGCTGTGATAGCCTATGATACAAAGCAAGCAACCATTTTCCTTCAGCAACACTGCATTTTTACCTAACAGATACATGCCTCAGTATGCTACGGGATTGGGTTGATTCAACATTACAACATTATATGGCTGCTAAAACCAACTCACCTTGCTGTAGCTGCTCCTGTGATGGCATCCTGAGTTTGAGGAGTGGTCCCACACCCAGGGACTCTACGTCTGCTTGGAGCCAGGCAGACACCAGGCACAGATGGGGGAAATGGGTCACCAGCAATCGCAACAAAGATGGGTACAGACCTGTTGGTGGAAAAAAATTCTCACAAATGAAGCCTGGTACAAATCAAGTTTTAGGAGAAATAAATGATTTTTCTTTAGAATCTGTTAATTCAAATTATCAAAAGCATTAAATAAATGTTAATCATTCTGTAAGTTTCTGCCAGACCTAGGTAGTCTTGTTGGTTCCGATGAGCTTCCTGCAGCAGTTGCATGATGGGTAGCCTGGTGTAGAGCATTCTGGGATACTCCTGCGGCACCTTCATGCTTCCAGCGCGACAGTTCTGTAACCAGTGATCCCGATACAACAGTAGGTAGTACAGCATCAGCAGTCGCGTGCCAACGCTCCACTGTTTAGTATCCGTTGCCATGACGTCTTCACCGGGAAAGATGACGTCAATCTCCGCTAACGCGATTGGTTCGCTGGTTGCCCCCTTGGCTCCGGGGGTGAAGACGGTGTTGACGTAGGTTTCGATGAGGGGGGGTAGAAGGGGATGGAGGGGGGCACTTGCCTCGTAAACTTGGTGGACAACCCAGTCCTTCAAGAAATACATTGGCGTAATATGTAAGCATAGGAAATGGTATAGGCAACACATTAATATAAAGTGACATATAAAATGTATCAAACATGGTGTTTGAAATTCAAATTTTGTACAAGTGCACCAGCTTGAATGAAAATTCATATGTGTTGGCAGAATCCTCAGTTGCAGAGTTTAAGCTTTGTTCCAACACAAAGAAGAGAACTCACTAAGAATTTTCAGTCAAACTTGTCGGGTGTGATTGAAATTCAGATGTCTATCAAAAATTTTGAAGTTTTACTGGCAGTCGATAAAAAAAAAAGGCTAGGATTGGTGTTTTTTTTGCTATATAATATATATATATCAAACATGGTCAGGAAACTTGAAAAACAACATTTTGGTTGGTCAGGAAACTTGAAAAACAACATTTTTTCCCTTAAGGCCTAATGTGACTTGGGGTTACACTAAATTCTCCACTCATGTCAGAATGGTGAGATGTTTGTTGCTGACCTTGATCTTGATGCTGTGCTTGCTGAAGGCTCGAGTCCTGAGCAGCTGCAGGATACAGTGGATGGGGAGGTAGCCAGTGTTGTGGGCACTCAGACTGGGGGTGACAGGAACAGTCACAGCATGGGCTGTGATAACCTAAGGGATAGAACAACGCTTAGCTCATACACACATACACTTTAGTTTATTGTACAAAGTACATTTGTAGGTACACCAAGGACTTTTGGGACAAAATTTGTAGGTACACCAAGTACTTTTGGGACAAGGTTAGAAGAACACAACAAAATGGCAGACAACATCAAAGCTAAACAAAAAGAAAAAAAAATTGTCAGTGCATGACAGATCACATAGCAGTGGACTTCTCATTCCTAGGCTTTGACAAAGACTGGAGTTGTACAGTCAAAAGTTTGGGTAAGTCCAATTTCTTGTGTTGGAAACTATTGTTAAAACTTTCTTGATAATAAAATCTGTACCTACCTGTTCAGGAAAAACTTCTTGAGTGAAGATTGTCTTCAATCTGGCCAGGGAGTTTCTGCTTGAGATCTGAAAAATGAATTGTACAGTTAGCAAAATTACAAAAATATGACCACAAATTTTATTCATGACAACACGCAATGCACTTAACTGCAAAATCGTTCCCAAAATTCTTGCTTGAAAGACTTTTCTTCCTAAAGGTCATGGCTGTACTAAGTGTTACAGAGTTTATATATGAAGAGTGGATCCGAAATGAAGTCTCATCCACACACCTTCATCCCAAGAGTGTTGGACACCAGGTCAGTGATGGCCCCTATCTGATTGCTGTGGAAGTGCAAGGCCACCAGCAGTAGAGTCTCTCCACAGGAGGCACTGCCTCTGCAAGAACACACCAGTTATGATACTGTAACATTACATGTAACACGCAAAGAAAGAAAATTACCTTCGTTAGATGTCTTAGGTACACCTTATATAGGTGTTGGTGATGTTTTTACTTGTAAAGTAGGGTTTTCAAATAAACTAGCAATGAAGTATTTTGCTGGGCACTGTAAGAATACTGGACACTGAACAAGACTACTTCCGAAGTGCCTATGAGCCTTCACTCAACTGCAACAGAGGCTGACATTGTTTACCTTTGACGTCACACTTCAGAGAAGCCACATTACAAGTCTCACTGGGTCAGTCTATTGAAGAAGACCAGAGAGCGACTGGTTGAAAGCTCTAGGTGGGAACAATCCCTTGCGATGGAACAAAAGTTTTAACTTTAAACAATGTAACTACCAACAAAGATGAACTTTCATGATATAGTAGCTATGAAGATGAACAACTATTCTTACTGTGGCAGACTAGCTGTCTCCTTGACCAGTTGTTTGAGCCATTCGGCTGCCTGTTTTTCCTGTTCCAGGCCCATCAGTAGGTGTGGAGAGGCCAGCAGGGCACACAGAGACAGGCACTGTAACCGGTCACCTGCGGGCACCCGTGGTACAGGGCTGGTGATCACGTTCAACAGGCACTGCGATTCCTCCTCACTCAGTCTGAAAAAAACAGCACAATTAATAACAAATATTGTTTTATTGTATGAAAAAAACTTCTTTTCCAAAACAAGCTAGTTACATTCAATTTCGTCTTTCTCTCATTCAATAATACTAGTCTCCAGCAAACTGTTTTGTATCGTAGGCTGCTTCTAGCAGTTTTTAGTTGGTATTAGTATCCAAAAATTAAAGAAATGCCTCACAGAGCTTGTTTTGGGGGTATTTGAAGTATGTTAAGTATGAAATGATGATGAAAATGGAAATGATGGCAGTAAATGTCAATGCAAGACACAATATTTTTGTTCTGCCACCCTGAAATTGCATTGGATACATTTTCTTTGTTTATTGTTTACCGGTATTGCCAGTTTGCACATAAAAATAAACAGTATGTAATGAATATGTACAACCAAATGTGCGGGAGAACCCAAGAAACCTAAGGGTTTATCGAGTGGGTTCTCCTAAAATCCAATTGTTTTTTGTTTTTTTTTTTTCTTGCCACTGAGTACAGTCTACACATACTTTAGCCCAGCTATCCCCTTCAGTGCACAGTAGAGCCTGAGCAGAGCGCTGGCCTGGACGGCTCTCTGGCTGGGGATGCAGTCATCTCCGGATCCCCTGCAGGGCAGGATGGACTTCAGCTGCTGCAGCAGGGTCTTCCGCAGTCTCTGAACCACTGAAGCATTCCAACCTCTGGAGTGCTGCGGTCCAAAAAACAGATTGTTACATGGTGATGCAATAATGGTAAAGTTTAACTCCATGAAAAAGGGATGGTATTGTTTTTTGTATGTCTGTGTGTATGTGTTTGTGTGTGTGTGTGTGTGTGTGTGTGTGTGTGTCTGTGTGTGCGTGTTTGTGTTTCTACATAGCCCTTAGGTCAGGTTGCAATCATGGATATGGTTGGGTTCCGTCTGTCCCAGAGGGAGAAAGTCATTAATCACGTCTACATCTGGTAGCGCTCGCTGTTTTCAAGGGTGCTTTTGTTACATGACCCCCTTGACAGCTAACAGCTGGTGATGCTACCCTAGCACCACCATGAAAGACTGTCTTCCAATGACAACACAGTCACCATCACACAGGATCTAAATACTTCATGGAGGTCTGAGATCTCTGAATTTTTGTTTGCATTGGAATCAGTTCATTTCCCCACCTTCTGTGCGTTTCTGAGGAAGGCAGCTAGCCAGGCCCTAACCCTGCTGTCACTGCCCAGCAGTACCCCGCTCACAAACGCCACAACCTCGCTACACACGTCCGAGGAAGTCGGGCTGAGGTGGTCAAGGGTCAAGGTCACCGCAAGGTCAGGAAGGGCGCAGTGTTCCACCTGGGTCCAAACAAAGGCATGGAAAACAACTGAGTTGTTACGCTTAAAGAAGGCCACATACTAAAATACATGTACGTCTAGAACAATTAAGTACAGTTCTGTGCTTAACTCTTAAAGCTACCTTATGTAACATTAGTATGATACAAAAGCCAATTCTATGGTTGTTTTTTTAAAAGCACATGTAAGTTGAATCAACCCTACTCCCTGGAAATATTCAAGTGTCATTCCGGAAGTGTAGGTGCCAAAAGATGATGCTTTACGAATGTGTTAAAAAGCTGCAAACACAGCTGTTAGCCATTTTTAGAACTGATGTCCTACATGTATTAAAATTAAAAAGTCCACACCAGGTGGTGCATAGGGCAGCACCCATCTCCAGTTCAATGGCCCTTGGGCCACACAGTAGTGCAATGACTATGTTTTCGCAGTTTGACAGTGTATCTCACCAGCATGCCTCGGACAGTGGCTGCATGTGAAGGGTGCATGACCAGCAGCTGTCTCAGCACAGCTGTTCTGCGCCTGCCTTCCATGCTGTCATCTTCCAGGTGCTGGGCCTTAGAAACCAGGGAAAGGCACACTGGAAACAAAATATAAGAATTAGTACATGGACCACAGTTTTAATGCTCCAAAAATATCCTTCATTCAATTAGAAAGAAGAAGAAGAAAAAGCATAACAAGGTGAGGTTGATGAAGGTTCGACATCCAGTTGATGAGATGCACAAGGAAGTTGTTACTCAAGCAACTGGATAGATTTTGAAAACTGTCAGATGCTTCAAGTAGCACCCACTACTTTTCTTCGATGACTAAAGGTATTCATCGAAAAAGTATGATATGTAACTGAGCTGAAGACAATATGAAGATGATATTTCATAGTTTTCGGTTAAATACCAGTTCAAAATTTCCTGGTGTATAACAAGGGAAGAAGAAAATGGAGGGAGCAAACTCGGAAGAACACACTGTCTTTGTTACCTGTGGGTAAAGGAATTAAGAGAAACATCTAGAGTTTAGAATGTAAAGTCCGACTAGTACATGTACCTTCATGGAAGCTGTCTGGTGCATTGGCAACCAGTCTACCCAACAGCCACAGTCCATTCTTCACTCTGAGTAGCCCCTCTGCTACTTTACTGATGGGCAGGAGGGTAGGAAGTTCTGAAATACAAATATAATTATAACTATTTAGATTTATTAAGTTAGGCCTATGAAAAATGTTGTGTTTCCAGTTTGCCAACCAACCTAGCATAAACCCTTGCTTTCTTTTGGTCAACTACTGGCAAGCCTAGGCATCTGAACTGTAAACCCTTTGAATTCTGAAATGTTACTTCACAAATTTTCACAGGCAAATTCTATCAAGTAAATTGCTGGAAATATTGATGACTAAGTAGTGGTGCATACCGGTTCACTGGACTTGGATCCGGACTTGTAAGAATGTTTAGGTTCAAGTCCAAAAAAACCTAAAAGTCAAGAACCGAGTCCGGACTTATTACCATAAAAGACCATTTCACATACCCCTTTTGTTTCCAAACCACCTAAAACCTTCCGTGGATTGCAAAATCTTTTTTGCAAAATGAAGAAAACATTGCCATCGGGCATCGTCAAGTACCAGCCTCCATGTTATGTGGCCAAAGTTTCACCCAGACAACATTGCAAGGTTGCCAACATGCAATTTTGTATATGCTATGGGTTTAGGTCCGGACTTACAAGTCCGGAACTGAACCTAAACCCTCTGGACTTGAATCCGGACCTAAACCTAAATGTGGGTTTAGGTATGTGTTGCCATGTAGAAACACCCCCTTTAGGATAATGGTTTGATCCGATGTACGCATGCGTACTGCGCAGTTGGTTTGAGAGAACAAAGAATACACTCAGTCGTCTCTATGCTCTGGCTTCGCTGGTCGTAATTGCGTTGTCATCTGGAATAGGAACTGTGATCTGGAACGAGGATTGGTAGGGTAACATTTGGAGGTTCTACCGAGATCAGTAGTTCCTGGAGTAACGAAGTGGATGAAGCGATTGCGACGAAGAAACTGCCACTGCAGCCGGAGAAGGAGAGAAAAAGTTTGGCGCCAAACCGATCACGTGACAGAAGGTTAGAGGTCAATTTCTTGTAAAACAAGATGGCGGCGCCCATCCGACGGAACTAGCAAGGGGGAGGGCGGCCGTAGTTGTTGGTGTTGAACGAGTGTCAGTAGTACAAGTATGGCGGAAGGGACAAGCCCAGTTGATCTACTCTACTCCAGTCTAGGGGAAATGATCAAGAAGCCAGGGTTCGCGTTGCAGGGAGCAACGACTCAGAACACAGTTGATATGACCCAGACTGGCCAGACAACAAGTGAAACGAGTCAGGGCATAGTTAAAACGGCCCAGACGCCAGAGTTGGCAATGCAAGACTTGGTGGCGGCAACCACACAGTTAACAAGCATTGTCACAGAATGTTGTAGTGCAGTTGAGAGATTGGGGGAGCGAGTGACGAGCCTAGAGACACCGAGTGGGAGTGACACCAACACGGTAAGGAAGAAACTCTTTCCGACAGAGAGCAAGTCATTGAGAAAATCCACATGGAAGATTGGTGACAGTAAGGGAACACCAGCAATGACCAATAGGAAGGAGTTCAAGATAACAGGACAGGTGGGGCAGCTGAGATTTCAGTCCCTCACATATCAAATCAAGAGTGGTTTGAGGCAGGGATATACAGAGGAGGAGGTGGTAGACGCAGTAATCAGGGCGATACCAGCCGGGTCACCTCTTCGGACTTACCTGGAAGGGAAAGAACAGTTGAACCTCACATTGGTCGAACAGGTGATAAGAGCCCATGGATTAGAGGAAACTGCTACCGACCTGTACCGTAAGTTAAGCATCGGATGCCAAGAAGAAGGGGAGTCTTCACAAGGCTTTGTCACAAGGATGATGGGGCTGAGAGATAAGGTGATAGCAGCCTCACAGGAAGAGGAAGAGCTGTACGACGTCCAACTGGTGCAGTCCATGTTTGTGCGAGCGGTGTCGACGGGGCTCAGAGATGATAACATTCGCCTAAGAATGCAGCCTTATCTGGATAACAAAAACAACACCGGTGATGTGGAGCTGCTGGAAGAGATAAGTAGGGCGGTGGTGGACAAGAGAGAGCGGGACGAGAAGCTCGCATCGACAAGCTCACCTCAACAAGCTCACGTCAACAAGCTCACTGTAACAAGCTCACGGTGCAACCAATGTACACAACAAGGGATGGAAGTGTGCCGTCATTGTTTCAGGTGTGGGGGAAACAACCACATCGCTCGGTGGTGCCGAACACCAAATAAGAACCAGGGAAACGCTTCAGGGGCACCCCAAAGGGACGAGGGGTCGTCCTAAGCAGCTCACAACCGTCCCGGAAACAACAACAACAAACAACACCAACTAGTGACAATCAACAACAACAAACAACAACCAACAACAAACAACAACCACAGACAACAACAGCCAACAACAATCAACAACAATCGGTTCACGTCAACGCCATGACTGCGTCACATCTAACACCAAAACAAAGAACTAAAATAACAAAGTTAGTCGGGAATCGGTGCCTGGTGTCGTGTAAGATGGATGACCAGCCGGTCCTGGCACTATGGGACACCGGCGCACAAGTGAGTATCATGACAGATACGTGGAGAGAGAAGAATCTACCAGAGATCAAGGTCAGACCAGTAATAGAGATACTTGAGGACACAGCAAGCCTCAACTTACAGGCGGCAAATGGTACAGAGATCCCATACAGTGGATGGGTAGAGGTCAGTTTTAAACTAAGCGAAGATGACTCACCAGCTATCTCTGTGCCATTTCTGACAACCAACAGCCCTAGCCAGGACCATCCGATAATTGGATACAACGTCATCGAAGAAATCCAAAAGCGTTGTGGGAGTGACTCTGCCCTGCTGTCGAGGGCGCTGCCGGTTCGGCCACAGAGGGCGGCGGCCCTGGTTAACCTGATAGAAGAGTTCAGCGTCCCGAACCCGGCAGGAGTGCGGGTCGGCAGGAAGAGAGTTCGGCTACCACGAGGGGCAACAGTTCAAGTTAGGTGCAGGATCCCTCGCGGCTCAGTGGAGGAGAAACAAATCATGCTGTTTGAACCAGATGAAGCCGGTGATTGGCCCACGGGCCTGGAGGTGGGACCGGCACTCATCCCAGTTAACTCAACGGGGATGATCAAGGTGCCTGTAACCAATCTCAACCAATATGATGTCTATCTGCCGGCAAAGACAGTGTTGGGTCGAGCGGAACCAATACGATCAGCAGTACCGGTTGAGCTGAGGAGAGTGCCTGAGGGATCTCAACACCCAACAACTGAGGACAGGAGACCAGTGAGCGAAGAACCACAGCAAACACCACAGCAAGCTCAAGTAAACACTGTTCAGGCAGAAGATGAGTTGTGGGACCCTCCAGTTGACCTGTCACACTTGAGCGAGGAGCAGAGGAAGATTGTGAAACAGATGCTCCGGGAGGAATCAGGTGCATTTTCTCGAGATGAGTCTGATATCGGCAGTATTGAAGGTCTCAAGCTGAAACTCAAAGTCACCCTACTCCTCTCCGATGGTATGCGTTCGAAAGAAGGATGGGAGCATGAGGCTCTGCATTGACTACCGCGCCTTGAATGAGAAGACAATGTCAGACAGGCAACCACTACCGAGGATCCAAGACATCTTGAACCGCCTGAAAGGAAGCACCTGGTTTTCCGTCCTGGATCAGGGTAAGGCCTACCATCAAGGCTACATGGATGAGGAAAGTCGGGAGTTCACAGCGTTCGTTACTCCATACGGCTTGTATGAATGGGTTCGAATTCCCTTCGGTCTTAAGAACGGACCTCCAGCATATCAGAGACACATGGAAGAGGTATTAGAAGGCCTGAGCCACGTGATCTGTGAACCCTTTATGGACGATACCATGGTCCATAGTGACACGTTTGAATCCCATGTTGAGCGGAACAGGAGGGTCTTACGTCGCCTTCAGGAGCACGGGTGCAAGCTTAAACCAAAGAAGTGCATCATGTTCAGGCGGCAAGTGAGATACGTGGGGAAATTAGTAACTGCTGAGGGCTACACCATGGACCCCGAGGACACGGCAGCTGTCAATGCGCTGAAGGAGAAAACACCTACCACAGTAGGGGATGTGCGGAAGCTGCTGGGATTCCTTGGGTACTACCGGACATACATTAAAAACTTCAGTCAGATTGCCAAGCCCCTGTATGATTTGCTGTCAAATCATGCCCCAAAACAACCAATCAAGTGGACAGAAGAACACCAGAGAATACTCTGCCAACTCACGGAACAGCTGACTAGCCCACCAGTGATGGCATACCCAGATTTCGAGCGACCCTTTGTACTGCACACTGATGCATCAGCTCAGGGTCTCGGTGCTGTATTGTACCAGCAAAATGAAGGGAAGCTGCGGGTAATAGCCTATGGATCGAGGACCCTGACTCAGGCGGAGAAGAACTACCACCTCCATTCAGGGAAGCTCGAGTTTCTCGCCTTGAAGTGGGCTGTTACTGAAAAGTTCCGGGACTATCTGTACTACGCACCATCGTTCGAAGTGTATACCGACAATAACCCCCTCACCTACGTTCTGAGTACGGCCAAGTTGAATGCGACAGGTCACCGATGGGTGGCAGAGTTGGCGGACTATAACTTCAGCATCAAGTACCGACCTGGGAAAGCCAATGCAGACGCAGATGTGCTGTCAAGAGTACCACGTCCAAGTCCAGGAGATGCTGAGCGGTTTATGGCTACCTGCACAGAAGAAGTGAGTGGTGATGTACTGAGTGCCACCACCCAGGCCATGCAGGCAGTTGATCAAGGAGATGCCACATGGATAAGTGCTATCACTACGAACATTGACAGTCTACCACCTGAAGACAAGAGTGCAAGTATGGGACCATTGAGCAAGAAGGAGATCGGTGAAGCGCAACGTCGAGACTCAG